AAATATTTTACCTATTTGATTTGAGTGTAATTAAGTTTAGAATGCAAACTATAACCAAGACCCAACTCGTTCTTGGCTCTGTGCATTCTTATGAAGGCTGCTGACTACAGTAGGTTTGTTTGTTTCACTCTGTGTGTAGTTCTCGTCCTGTCTTGAAAACTTTTCCCAAGTAATCCTAGGTAGTTTGAGAAATAACTGTAGAAATTGCCACTAATTGCATCCTCCAATGTAGTCTTTGTTAATCCTGCTTGTCATTAGTCATAGATCCAACCGTCCAATGTGTAATTACCATAGGTATCCTGTTCTCTTGGTATTGTGTCCTCCGTCCTGCCATTCACTGTGGGCATTATGCTGATTTTAAATGAGTTAAAATGTAAAAAAACATGGGACAGTGCTGCTCACTTATAGCGGAAACAAGCGTAGATGTGGCACTTGAAATTTTAATGTGTTGGGGTCTTTATTACACTGTGCAAATGCATGCAAGAGACTGGTCTCCAATATTTTGGAACAAGACTTCTTCTGGTCTAGGATTTGAGTGTGTTTGCTTTTTATTATTTCATATTTCAGCAGGGATGAAATAATATTGGCATATAATATGCTCAACATTCCAGTGGGCTGATTATAACAACAAATAACACAACAGCTGACTTTGTCAGGGGAGAAATCGGGATATTCTTTCTTAGATGATGAATATTATTAAATATTGTGGACTGCTCTGTTCATCACGTTACACTAATGTCCTCCTACATTTATACACCCCCTTTCAGTGGCACAAAATACATTACCATCAAAAATGGTACAAGAATGTCAGAGCTGAGCAAGTATGTCTTTTTCATATATCTATATCTGACTGTGAGGTAAGAAGTGCTGAGAAGAAAGGAAGTTGTGAACTCATTATTTGCCACTCAGTGTTCCACTTAAGCCACTGAGCTTAAGAAAGGGGTCATATTTGGTAGGTTGACCATCCCGGGAGCTTTTATGGGAGAGGGGAATTGGGAAGTGCTGAAGTTCTTTCAGAGGTAGCCAGGCATGAGGGGGAAAAAATAAGAGCCCATGACCCATCCTGTAAACACAATGCTTCTCTGGGTTTCCAGTGGAAATATAAACAGTCCCAGTGCTAAACAGCCAATTAATTTCCTCTCATCAGAACAGCAGAGGCAGCAAACTGTGACATGCTGTGGAAGTATGGTGTCTCACATTGTTAGTGTCCTAACTAAGAGTCACTGCCACTGACAACCACAGTGGAGATAAAGTGCTCTCCCTCTGGTCTTTAAAAAAAAAAAAAAGAACTAATTACAGGAGGAGTAATTACATCTCCGTCTATGTAGAGTGTGTGTAATATCTAAAATGTGACTATTTGTTTTTCAGAGATATCCGCAATAATGAAATCTCCTGGGCCATTGAAGACTCCATTGGTTTGTTTGATGGAATGAAGAAGCTGAACACACTGTGAGGACACTCAGAATGTACACCTATAGATAGATGGGAATATTGACAGATTTTGATTTTAATATATGGGGCATGTTTGTAAAATATTTAGATAGAAGGTGCATCTCAAATTCTCTCAGTGTTCCAGAGATTTGGCTGTACGCTACTTTACTGGTGAGCAGTATTTCTTGGTAATATGAAGCTTTATTCATATGGGTCTGTTTGTACATTACAGGTTTTATTTTGCTGTGAAATTGTTCCTCAGATTTGTTCTAGCTTGCACTGAAAGGCTGGTCAAATGTGTGAATTTAGCCTTAGCAAAAGCTACTGACACAGTGCCTCCAGCGTGCAGTACAATCTTCACCCAGGAGCAGGTTTTGTGGCAACTGCTTGCTGAACATAGGAAATATTTTTATTTTCCAGAATCCTACAGCGGAACACAATCAAATCAATCACTAAGAAAGCGTTCGAGGGCCTGGAGGAGCTGGAGCACCTGTGAGTAAAGCCACTGCACATTCCTGTTTGTCCACACAGTTATACTTGCATCTCAGAAGGATCTGTTGTTACTGTCGAATGATTAAAGATAGCAGAAGGCTTATATTACCACTGTACTGTTGTTGTTATCTTATGCTTGTGAAATGGGATGCTATTTTGATAAAAACATCATCGTAGGTGTGTCTAATCCATATTTCTGTCCCTCTACAGGGACCTCAGCAAGAATGGCATCATGTCAATACACCCCGAGGCGTTGTCCCATATGAAGCTCAAAGTGTTGTGAGTACACACCAAATTAATCTTACAGGTGTCATAAGCACATTTGGAATCCGGCTGTCCCCAAGAGTAAAATTGTTTCTTTGACTGATTTATCATTACCGCTTTCATTGAAAATGTGTTATGATCACGTTAACGATGCAATTAAAGGACATGATTAGCATTTATATTGGCTAGCTTTAGTAATTGATGAATAAGGTTTACTGTAACTTTACTTTTTGAGGCTTTCACCTCTCTTTTTTCGGTAAAGATGTCTGAAATTACATTGTTGTCTTACTTGTATAGGACTTGACTTGACTTGCTTGGATAGGACAGCTGTCCCTCATGTGAGGAAAGACAGAGGAAATGTTAAATCTTGCCTTTTTGTGGTTTTGATCAGTCCATTTTAGGAGTGTCTCTCGAGCAGTAGCTAACAAAATGCCCCAGCAGCTGTCAAACTCAGAACATGTTTCATGACAGTAGTCATATCCTGTTTTAATTAGCCTGCTGCTTTAATAGAATATAGCACTATTTGCTTGGCGAGTGGATAAAGTTTGTTTGCCTAATAAGTTAAATAGAGGAACATAATGACAACACCCTTGTAATTAAGATTTATTTTAAGATAAAGTGTATTAAAACATGGTTCTGGCGGCAATGAATCAGTTTTCCTGTCTTGATTAAGATCATTTAAAGGTGGATTTCACACCTGTTATTCGGCTCCCATGGCTGACTCGTTTGGAAATGATAACCCTGGTGTGTGATTTGATTAGTGGTAATGATTTCAAGATTATTAAATGGGCCCTTTTCTAGATGAATTTTTTTTCATTCACAATGGTTTTATATGGCTATTGTTTGTTAACAATAATACACAGTATGACATAATGTTATTCTTTAAATTATTCAGGTAAATTGAACCTTAATTTCAAGAAATTGCCACTCAATCACATCCTCAATACAACTCTATGGGGAAAGCCCGTAACAGCAAAGATGGCGGTTATCCTGCTCCTCCTGCTAGAAAGCCAGTCGTCTGCTTTTAACAGCCAAAGCGGGAATCATATTTCAGCCAATCGTGTGGTTACACTGACGTAAGGGAAATAACACTTTTTAAACCTTATTTTGGGGCAAAGCTTTCAAACTATTTCAGCGATTTTTATCAGATTTTACTGCTGATTCTAGTCATGTAGGTTTTATGTCCTGGTGACCAGTGAAAGTGCAGTTCTGGCTCACCCCCCATTCATTCAGAAAGGAGCCTGGTCTTGTTAGTCCTATAGCTGCCCGGAGGCATAGCCCAGATGGCGGCCGGGTGGCATGACTTACCTATAAGGACTTTGTCAAAATCACTTTCTGAAATGCCCACAAACATATCCTGAAAATATCCACATTCATATTCATTTTTGTTCATCTCCATCCTTTTTATTTCTACTAATTTTACAATGACTCATCTCACTTTCCCTTCTCTGCCTTTCTGTTCACAGTGTCTTGAACACAAGCAGCCTGCTGTGTGACTGCCATATGCAGTGGCTGGGGTCTTGGCTGACCGACAGCCAGTTTCAGCAGTCTGTCTCTGCTGTCTGTGCTCACCCTGCCAGCCTTCTTGGTCGTAACGTCCTGTCCATCAGCCCGGAAGAGTTTGTTTGTGGTCAGTACCACTCTTTTTTTTTTAATTTTTTTTTTATACGGTTTCTAAACTAATCCAATATAGGTACTGTTCAGTGAGCACAGTAGAAAATGTCTGTTGGTATAAGCTAGGGAAGATAGATTTTTCATTTCTGGATTTTTACAAAATGAAATCTATTATTGGTGGCTGTGGCTCAGGAGAACCCCAAATTGCTCCCAACGGTTATACCATCGGTGGGTGTCAGTGTTAGTTCCCTTCTGATGAGCAGTTGGCACCATGCATGGCTACTGCCATCAGAAGTGTGTGTGTGTGTGTGTGTGTGTGTGTGTGGGTGACATGTAGTGTACAGGGCTTTGACTGGTCAGGGGACTAAAAAGGCACTATATAAGTTCAGTCCATTTACTATTATTATATATATTTTACAATAAAATTGCATTATTTTACTGTCGAAGTTATGTAAGTTTTTCCATAAACTTCAGTTTTATAAACAGTTGCACAAAATGTCTGTTACAGTTTGGGTAATACTGTTGACCTGACCAAGCTTACCACCATGTTGCCCTTCCTGAATTGGTTTTGAATGCCAACTGATATCTTACATATCATTTAAGAGGTGTGTTGCAAAAATATGGATTTTCTAACTTGGAATTTACACTTTCGGTCCCTGCTCCTCCACAGATGATTTCCCAAAGCCTCAGATCACAACTCACCCAGAGACGTCTGTGGCACTGCGGGGGAACAACGTGACTCTGAGCTGCATTGCGTCTAGCAGCAGCGATTCGCCAATGACCACAGCATGGCGGAAGGATGGGGAGGTGCTATATGATGCAGAAGTGCAAAACTACGCCCGGTACCAGGAGGGAGAGCTGATTTACACCACTGTGCTTCATCTACTTAATGTCAACTTTACTGATGAGGGCCGCTATCAGTGTGTGGTCTCCAATCACTTTGGCTCCAACTACTCCAACAGGGCCAAGCTTACCGTCAATGGTGAGGATGTTTGACCTTTTTCAAAGAACGTGATTGATGATTGTCAGTGGGGCATATATTTTTCTCTTGCTCTGCAGTCTTTCACTTTCTTTAAGCTATAAGGCGCTGGTCTTGCCAATAAACTATACACTGAGTTCTGGTAGAGCAGTGAGAAATGTTTCTTATACATAATTTATTCTTTGTTTGGTATGCTTGTGTCCTTAATCAGTGGACAATGCAGTAACTGCCAAGAAACATATTTGCATCTGCTGCTTGATCCCAGTCTGATACAGAAGTCTCCACTTCTTTGTCCACACCTTCACTTTTGGCCCTCTATCTTTCAGAGCTGCCATCCTTTCTTAAGACTCCCATGGATTTGACGATTCGAACTGGTACCATGGCCAGGCTAGAGTGTGCTGCTGAAGGCCATCCATCACCCCAGATTGCTTGGCAGAAGGATGGGGGCACTGACTTCCCTGCTGCCCGAGAGCGCAGGATGCATGTGATGCCAGATGATGACATCTTCTTCATTGCGAACGTGAAGACAGAAGACATGGGAGTATACAGCTGCACAGCACAAAATGCAGCTGGCAGCCTGTCTGCAAATGCTACTCTCACCGTCCTGGGTGAGTCACCCACCTGATTAGCAGAGCATGTTACTAATGGTTTACTGCTGGGTCATTTCAGCTGAGTCACTCTGCTTAAATTGGCCACTCATTTATGTCTGTCAGTGCACACCCTTGTTTTTGTATTTCCTCCATGGCAGTTTTTAGTAATGATGTAAACACAGACCTTGTTATACCATGACCATGGAGAATACTGAAACCTGGCTATATGGCACGCCTCTGACACAACCATTAGATCACTTTTTTCTTGATAACTTTGCTTCTGAGATTTGATTTAAGCTATGTGCTAGAAATCAATTACTTTGTCAAAGTTTTTGATCAAGGCATAAACTCTACATACATACCATACACATCCATCTGAACAGTTTGACACAAATGCCACTGGGATAATCCTTATTAAATCAAAAATCAATCCTCTTCTCTTCCAGAAACTCCATCCTTCATGCGGCCGCTGGAAGACAGAACCGTGGCCCGTGGTGAAACTGCCGTGCTTCAGTGTATAGCTGGAGGCAGCCCCGCCCCTCGTCTCAACTGGACCAAAGATGACGGGCCTCTGGTGCTCACTGAGCGCCACTTCTTTGCTGCAGCCAACCAGCTCCTTATCATAGTTGATGCCGGTCCTGCTGATGCTGGGAAATACACCTGCATAATGTCTAACACTCTGGGAACAGAACGTGGCCACATCTACCTGAGCGTTTCGCCATCACCAAACTGTGATACCGTCACAGGATATGACCAGGATGGCTGGACCACTGTGGGCATTGTGGTGATTGTGGTGGTGTGTTGTGTGGTTGGAACCTCTCTGGTATGGGTCATTGTCATCTATCACATGCGCAGGAAGAGCGAGGACTACAGCATCACCAACACAGGTCAGCAGCTGAGGCGCATAGCTATCTGTGATTTCAAAATAAATGTGCCTTCTTTGAAGCTTCACCCAGTAGGGATGGCTGTTTGGAAACATGAAATGTTTCTATGGGGAAGGCTCTTTGTTGTGAGGACAACACTGTTTCACAGAACTCAGTGTCGTGTAACAGAATATCTCTGTCTGTTCCAGATGAGATGAATTTGCCAGCAGACATCCCCAGCTACCTGTCCTCTCAGGGTACTTTGTCAGAGCCTCAGGAAGGCTATAGTAACTCTGAGGCTGGCAGCCACCAGCAGCTCATGCCTCCTCTCTCCAATGGATATGTCCATAAGGGCACAGATGGTGAGTAATCTTCCTTTTAGATTTGGTGAATGCCACCATGTTGGACTCTAAACACAAACATTTTGTCTCAGCGCCATGGATGATATTATTTTTACTTTGTTTTCTTGTGATCTGGATAAGCACACAGTTAAAATAGTAATCGTCTATGAACTGCACATAAAAGGTCATTTGTCACTGCACACACTTTACATCAGCAAAAAACAACATTGGTGCCTCCTGTAGTTGGAACTCAAGAAACACTTCCTAAAAACGTCCCTTTAATATTCATATAAAGATGTAAACTGTGCTTTTCTTGTTTTAGGGCAGTTTAATATTCCAATAATTTAACAAAATGTAGTGATGGTGTTCCTATGGTAGTCAATGATTTATTAGTTAACAGTATAATGACTTTTGATTTGATTGATTTTTCTGGAATGAGACAATGACTAATTATCATGTATGTCCAAGGTGTGTGTTATGGAGACACAGGCAGCGAGGTGGAAACGGAGGGGAACGGCATGCTGCACTGCAGGGTGGGCTCTCTGTTCACTGGACGTAGCAGCTTCCACCCTGGAGACCACCGTGAGGGACTGTCTGGAGTTCCCACAGGTTAGTGTCATCTGTACACATAAGCGGTTAATTCAGTTTCAGCAATTTTATTTATATAGCGCTAAATCATAACAATGGTTATCTCAGGGCACCTTTTTATATAGAGCAGGTCTACACTGTAATATTTATAATATTATTTACAGGGTTATTAGGTTTTTTAAAATTATTATAATGATTAGGGTTTTTTTTTTTTTTTTTTAGCATTCGTTGTTTTGTTTTTTTTTCATATCAAATGGATTTTGAAACGACTATATCTATGCTCTTCACTGGTCCTTGTAACTTATCTTGTTATTATGTAGATGAATGTAATCGGATTGAAGATCTTTTCATAGAGTACCTGTGTATATATTTTTATTTTAATAGGGCTGCACAATTAATCTAATTGCAGTCGCGGTGTTGTCATGTGCAATTACATAACCGCAAAAGTGTGCTATTTAATAAAACAAAATGTGTGTGTGACGTTCTCTTCTCTGTGTCTGCTGCAGTCTGCTCATTATCTCCGCCCACACCGGGCTCTTGCATGTACCTCTACAAACGGATAAGCCTACTTGCAATGAGGAAAAATTATTTACGAGCAGTGTGCCAGTAACTTTTAAGACAACAACCAACTCTAAGCCTCTCCCCGCTCCGCCACTAATCGTTCAAAACATAGTCGGACTCGCCACCAGATCACCAAGAGAAATGCCGCCGCTCCGGTCGCTGTGACATAATCAGACCGAAGAAAACATAAAGAAGGTTTGAGTTTGGCTCGCTGGCCAATTGACGTTAGTGTATCAGTGCATTTTGTTATTCAACATGTTCAACTTTTCACAGATCTGACATGCTATGTAAGTCACTTTATATAAGTCACAACCTGGATGGGGCGGGACATTAAAAAAGATTGATATGCTACAGCAAATCATTAAATATTGAACAATATGATTATTGGCAAGTTAGTACTTAGCATTAACAAATTATAGACCGATGTAGAGCCTTTTTGTTTTCTTAAATAAATAAAAACAACCCACAGAAATTAACCAGCTGTAACTGGATTTAATATTCAACTAGTGGTAAAATAGTATACTATTATATGAAATTATAATGAATGTAGTATATTATTGTTATAATAACAGTATACTGTTAACTAAACATTATTTTCTTTATTTAATACACTCCTGTACAGTTCCTCCTCCAGGTTATGGATAGAGACTGCATTAGACAGATGTACATTGAGCCGGTGCCAGTGTGCCAATATTTGCTCCTTCTAGCCTTTCTTCGTAGAGCAACACGCTCCTCTTGTTCTGTTTTACATCTGTTTTACTTGTTATTGTTATAAATATTGTTTAACTTTGTTCAAGTTGAGAAATACACATTTCAAAATGTCAGTATTTTGTGCATTCCTTGATAATTAAGTAAGCAGACTCAGAGTACCATTTGTTCAATAATAATCGAATCGCAACATTGTCCACAGTAATCGCAGAAGATCTTTTTCTCCAAATCGTGCAGCCCTATATTTTCATATAATAACATGTGAGTAAATTAGATAACATAAAATGTATACTCTAAATAATCAGGTCAGGATTGTAGTAGTTGCAGTGGCAGCAGTACCAGCATAAATGCATATGATGATGAACCCCTAATGGGCACAAAACACACACGTCTGATAATAAGTTGTTATTTATGTGGCACCTTTTTGTATACACAAAAAGCAGCTCAAAGTACCTTTACAAAATAAAAAAATAAAAGAGCAGACAATTTAAACATCTGAAATATTGAAATACATTTAAAAAGAGGAGGAGAAACAAAATTATAGACACTTACCTACTACATAACAGGTCGGTTGTAACAGAAATGATCTTTTAAGTATGTTTTGTATGAAGATCCCCAAGAGTTTGAAATGGAAAATGAAAATAAAAGTCATGAATTTTGAACATTTATACAGATTATGATTGTATCACATATAATAAATGTTGGTACTTGTGAGAATAATTGTCAGTAGTCAGGTGACGCGAGAGGCCTGATTTTCCCAATCACTGTCAGCATGAATCACACACAATCTCTAAATGAAACCATAGTCTGCATCAGGCTTAAAAAAACAAACTGCAAACAAAGGGAAAGTAACACTTTCACACACAAGATCCTTATTCTTCTTTGTCAGGTGGTGCAGGCCCCGTGGTCATCTGCTCCGACTGCTACGACAATGCCAACATCTACTCTCGTACACGGGAGTACTGCCCCTACGCCTACCTTGGGGAGGATGATCCACTGGACAAGACTCCACCCGGCCTGAAGGACGGCTTCATTGAGCATGCCCAGCACAAAGACACTGCACTGGAGAGCCTTATTAGCAACCAGGACTCCTCCAACTTTCTCACCTCACATGAAAAAAGGTTGAACAGCCACACTCCCCCGGAGCACTACACCAACGGTGAGACTAGAAACAAATTCCAGTTTTACCTTTCTGATATGGTGGACACCATCCTTTGTCAAGAAGTAAACTATCATGTCCTATCTACTAATGTGCATGTGGGTAAAACGTTGAATTTCACCACCCCGTAGCTACTGAAAACATTTCCCTCTTCTCTTTGTGGCTGTTATAACTCTTGCAGCTGCTCAGGCAAGTTTGCTTTTAGCTTGCCTTGAAATACAGTATAAACAGTAAGGTTGTTGATATACTAAAGGTAGAATTTTACAGGTTAGAGATTTCCCAGTGAACTGGTAAATCCATAAGATCGTATTTATTAGAGATATTGATCTTCCAGATATAATCTTTTTAGATACATAGAAGCTTTTTAGGTTAGAAGGTTGTTCAGGTAATCAAAGTGCTAACAGGCTCCATCTAACATTATATTATTTGAGATTATGCAAGGAAAGTAAAAGTTGAAAAGCTTGGCTAACATGTAAACAAACTAAATTAGCTACTTAAATGTTTATCCAAAATCTAAAACTATAGACTTGCAAAATGATAATTTTCACTGCCAATTAATCTATCAATTACTTTTTATTAAGTGTTTATTCTTTAAAATATCAGTCACATGTACAGACAGACAGTGTATAGGAACACGTAGCTTGTTTTGTCCTGCCAGTACTCTCATTTGGGATACACCGATATAAAACAGAGAAAAGCAGCAAATGCTCACATTTAAAATGGTGCCAGTGTCTGAGTGTTTGTATTTTACTCTCTTTGCAGATTTTCTTAGCAGGTCCTTCTGGGGAGAAGGGGAAGATCCGTCCTCAAAACACCAACCAGGTCCATCCCAGCACCCAGTGACTGTACACAGGACACCTCCTCTGACTTCCACTGCTGACAGGGCAGAGGAACAGAGTGAAGCAGAGGTGGACAGCTTTCCCAGGCGATGCACACCGGACCACAGAAGTGCCTCTAATAGGACTAACCCTCAGGAGCGTTCTGCTCCCACATAGGTCCTTATACTCCGTCCCGCGTTCTGCCTCTGACACCTTGTTGCTGCACCTCCCCTACCCCCACTACCTCCAAAGAAACTCCTTACATTCTGCCAAAGATGCTCTCTTGTATGTTTACATTCCCCTTTCACTCAAGAGGACATGCTAACGGTCTCCACTGTGGAAAGACTGCCGTGTCAGACGGAGAAATGGGCCGGTAATTAAAGTGACCTCCTCCTTGACACCTCCACAGGACCCCTTATTCCCACATCCTTCCTCACTTCTTTGTTCTCTTTTTGGAGAAAGCTATGAATGTATTCTTTAAAGAGTCATGTCGGATGCTGCCATGAGAAAATGCCAAGACATGGTGGAGTATTTATAAGCTCTCTCTCCCCTGTCCCTTCCGCTGTGGGGCTGAAATTCAGTGCCAGTTTTGTCTCATCATTCCTGGTACAGACACCTGTTGGAGCTGGCTACATGACTTTGGTAGTAATTACAAATCACCTATTCCCAAGGAGGGGAAAGTGGGGTTAACACGGGACAAATGTAGTTCCCTAACCAGCAGTTTGTGGTTGTTTTAATATAGGAAAGAACATTCAACATATGTCCCAAATTCCCACAGCCATCCCGACTGACTCAAAACTATGCTATCTGGTATCCTGTTATGCAAATCCCAGAGACTTCGACACCAAACTGTGGTATATATTATGAATCTATATATGAATATATCCTATATCATTATCTCATCTTGTTTCTGTCCTTTTAAATTTTTTTTTTTTTTTTTTTTTTTTTTTTAAATGTCTTCGTAAAGATAAGTTTGGAGAGAAGGCGTACAATTTTTTGCACATGTGACAATCATGGTTTTGCTGGCTATCTTCTTATGGTTGTTTATTGGATGGCCTTTTTAACAAGCATTCTCAGTAACCTCGGTCAGGTGACATTATGGTTTATATATACAGTGTGCACTGATTTGTTTTCCCTTTTGTCATACCTTACAGGCACTTAATTTAATGGTGGCCAACTTTACTATGCAGTGCGCATGCCATTTTAAAAGATTTTTCATCCCAGTTTTATCTTAAAAAGTTCCTGATCCTTCCGTAGATAGTGATCAAGTCTAGGTTTTCACTTGGGACTGTGACAAATGAGAATGTATTGTATTATTTTATTCATGTATGTATGTATTTGTACATAAGGCTAGTAATCTATTAAACGCCATGTCCTACTAGTCCATTTGCAGAGATGTTTGAGACATAAGCTGCAGTAATTTTAAGCGTATTCATTTTAAGCCTTTATTGTCCCAGCATTCTCCTGAAGTTTTTACATGTTGGTTCAGGTAACAAGAAGAACACATTTTCTCAATAAGTGGGTGATATTTTCCTCATAACTGAAAGTCAGCAATCCGACAGCTGCCAGCTTTAGCAAACTGTACTGTTTCCAAATGTCAGTTTTTAAGTTAGATCGCCTTGATTATTGCACTTTTGTGACTCAGAAGCTTATATTTGCCCAATATATTTAGCAAATTGTACTCTGTTGCCAGTTTATTAGGTACACCTTGCTGAAAGCAATGCAGTCGAAAGAGCAGTCCTTCGATATATCCTACCTTTTGTGAAGGTTATAATGTACAGTTTTTGTTGAAAAACATTTTTACATAGGATTGTATGATCATTTTGGAGGATGTAGTTTGTGGTGGTGGTGTTGAATTGTATTGCATTATACTGGCAGATGTTGTTATTTTGTGCAGCACATTTTCATCATATTTATATTTCGTGATGGTAGGATTTATTGCACGACTGTTGTTAGATGGTTTTAGCTAGGTGTACCTGATAATAAACTGTCAATTGAGGGTATATCATACTCATTCTTCAACGCTACATCTGACAACATATTTGAAAGTTTATTTTTGTTTTTGTACTTTGTTTTTTTGATGATTAGCACTGCTACATTCTACTCTTTGATTTTTGACCAAAAAAGGAGTTGTCATGTTCCTTTTCTCCCTCTTTTGTAGTGGTACACTGAGTGTTCGAGAGTATTTCAGACACTAAAAATCAATAATGCTGAAAAGTTAATCTACAGTGAAAATGTGCGACGGTGTTGCTTGATGCCATGTTTTTGATGTCATGTCACAAAGTGTAACATGGCCATACAAATGATTTTTATTTTTAATCAATAATTACTCAAAATTGACTGCATGTGTGTTAAGCAGCAAATGCGGTACCCCTCCACCTCCACTTTCATATTTTGTTAATCATGCTTTCCTTCGATTTGCCAGATAAACACATTCCAAGCCTTTTCCTCTGAATTTAGTGTTGCCCAGATTATTGATTACCTACTGGTATTATTTTCCAAGCCAAGACCTGGGTCTCTTTTGCATTTTGACACACTCCTTGCTTCAGTGGAAGCAGCTTTTTTGTTGTTTCTTGATGTTTTTTGACTGTTTGCCAAGATGGAGAAATTTAAATGAAAACTTGCAGTGATAAGGAATCTTAAAGGAGCTACATGCCGGAGGGGGGAGGGGGCGTATATTGATTCACTGTTCCATAATTTCTGCCAACACAGCATAAACATAATGTGCATTTGTATGATTTTATTCTCTGAACGTCCTTTATGACTTTATACCAAAGTTTAGCAGTAACTGCTTTGGCAATATCCAATGCTGCTTTTTTTTTTTTTTTTTTGAAATTTTGTTTTCATTAGTATTTTTGGACCTTTTTTCTTTGTTTTGGACCTGTACATTCTGTAAAGCATGTCTAACAAGCCTTTTTGTTACGTAGCAATTACTCGAACATTAAACATGAATTCTGAACATTGGTTCTTGGTCATAATCATGTCTGCCTCAACACATCTTTTATTTTCATTAATGATAAAGCTGTTGATTAATTTTCTTGATTGGTCATTTTGTCTGTAAAATGTCAGAAAATAATTAATCACAATTTCCCAGATTCCATGTCCAGTGACATGTTGAAGGTGTTTAGTCCAAAACCCAAAGATAAAGAATTTAAGATGATGTATACAGAAAAAGTATGGAAACGCTTACACTTTTGAAGCTGGGAGAAGCACATGTTTGGTCTTTTTGCTTGACCAAATGAAAGAAAATGTTTGATAGCTTATCAAAATAATGTCGTGTTAATGAGGAAAAAAATAGAGAATATTCTTGCTGGATTTTATTTAGGTTACATGTAATTCCAGAGGCACGAACCACAACATAATTTCTGGGCACACCATGGAATGGTTTAAAAGGCCAAGCCATTATAATCTGGATTTAGTCATGTCAAGCCACCACAAAGCCACCTAATATGGGCCTTAAAAAACTGTTAGTCCACCATCAGTCTTGATGTTAAGAAAAAAAGACCTACTTTTTTCAAGTCCCTCCTACATTAATCCTGTAGAATCACAGGAAACCTTGGAGACGAGCTGAATCTGACAGTGGTTCAGCCTTTTAAAGTCTGCAGTTTGTTTGGATCCCCGGTCCCCATCAAAGACATGATAGCATTGTTAATCATCCTCTACAAGGCAATGAATTATTCAGCACAATGTCCAGGGCGGCAACTCTGTGTTTAAATGCAGACTTATAATTCATCACACAGAACAGAAACAACTGCTGCTTCATAAATACTACAGAAGGTGTGTTCCAGTTATAACGTTAATTAGCTCCACTACATGGTGCTGACATATGATTGTCCTGTTAGTCAGAAAGCCCAAATTGTCAAAATCCATCATGCTGTATTAGAGAGATTTTGGCAAAAGCATCATTTATAACTTGCAAAGTTTGTGCAGAACACAACCAGTAATCTCCAGAGATGAAGTGACATTTATAGAGTTTAATTAACTTCCAAAGCTACACTTATACACCACTTACGTGTTGCGTCATCTTGAATTTTTCATTAAGCTCCACTAACATTTGTCATGAAACAAGCATTTAAAGACAAAAGATCTGTATGTAAATTAATAAGGGCATGTAAAATATATGCTCCCAGGACATGGAATTTGTAGACTTTGCATGTAGGTGGGAGTACAGTTTCCCCTTGAATAAAAGGTCAGATTTTCAGCTCTAGACCTACATAAAAGATGATGTTGTGCATGAACACAGTACTGTGGCCACTGCAAGCCTTCTCTAATCAAAACAAATCACGTTTATTTTTCACATACACAATCATACACCTTGTCTAGCTCCAGAAAGCAACTAACAAATAGTGAACAGTAGATGCAAAAATTGTGTACAAAGACGTGGCAACTCAAAGCTGTAGATAATCGTAAATAATGATTAAGTGAATTCAATCATCGCCCTATAGGTCATGCGTGGATAAATGCAGCTGAATTCAGTCAAGCGTGGAGGTACAGTATATGTATGCAAGTGTAGCTAAATCAGAGACCTCTGGGAAGGCATGAAATAGAGCATTAAATAGTTTGGATGTCTCTGATTGTGTCAGTAGGTGTCGCTGTGGAGACACGTCAACAGGAACGTCCTCCACAAGAATAGCACCACACTCTATGCAAATTCACTCTTAATTAGGTGTAATTTGTTTTGCTCGCTTGATATTAGGATTACATGCTCCGTGTATTTATAGTTAGTCTTTTATTTTCTGCTTATTCTACCTCATATTCACGTCTGTCCCGCAGCCTAAATTGTAAAACATGCAGATAAACACGGACGTTATACATTTTAGACAGGGACTAAAATGACAATAAATTACAGTGATCATCACTCATACAGTATGTTTTCTTCATTTAGTACCACAACACACCGGAGGATGGAGCCAGCATAAGCGTCTGGAAAACACTGCTACCGCTGAGCGTAAAAGGGGCGTTTCGGAGGTTGGCAACGTCTCTCTTGGCGGTGCCAGGTGTGTTCAAACCTGTAGCAGACAAACGCTCGTGTGTGTCTGTCGGTCACCGTGGGCTGCATCTCAACTGCATAAACCGCCTACCGGTGATCGCCACCGCCCGTCGATCTTCAGCCTGCCCACAGGTATAAGGGATTTCTCGTTGACAATACATTTCAGCGACAGACACACCACAGTCTAAAATACTCTCTGTTTACATTTTTGATTTGACTACTTGGCGTCGGGAGGATCCTACAGAGACGAAGCAAAGCACGGATATGGTTCCAGAGTAGCGAAGGAAAGCACGAAACCTGAACTGTTCCCTTTTAACCATCTTGCCGCTATCAGCTCCTCTGTTTTACGCACAAGGAGCGCTTGGAATTATTGCAACACAGGCAACTGTGAGCACACCGGAGCACAAGCCCCGTGGGATGACAGACCTCAGCGGCAGATTCACCGGTGAAAATCAGCCGGCTAAATGTTAGGACGATGAAATACCCAGCAGGTCGGGAGAATAACTCAGGAAGGTTTATTAGGCCGCGTCACTTCGCGTTCATTTAACATCAGCAAACCGAGGCGACTGTACCCAGTTAGATCGTTAGTTCTTCGAGAAGGGAGTAACCATGTCTAGAACACTGAAGAAGAAGAAACACTGGTCCAGTAAAGTGGTGGAGTGCGCGGTATCATGGGGGAACCTGGGGGACTTTGGTTCCGTGGTGGAGGTCCTGGGAGGAGCAGAGCTGGGACAGTTCCCCCACCTGGGTCAGATGAAGCTGGACGTGCTGGTGTGTCACGTCGGGAAGCTGCCCTACTACGGGGACGTTTTGCTGGAGGTGAACGGGACGCCCGTCAGTGGACTTACAAACCGTGACACCCTGGCTGTCATACGCCACTTTCGGGAGCCGATTCGCTTGAAGACCGTCAAACCAGGTGCGTCCCCCTGCTTTCTGTTCTCAACCCTGTTGTCACCTGAGCTCTGTTTGTCAGAGGAGCGTTTTGATTTGTGGATGTTGGCATTCACTACACAACACAGCAACCCTCGCGGGTAATGTAGAGATCAACAGAAACACTGGTAGCCTACTTACTACTGCCAGTCTGTGATCATCTCAAGACAAACATCCTTAAATAAATATTTAAACATGAATGCACAGAAGTATCTTCACAGACTATCTCCTCATATAACTTACAATAGGTTTATATGTTTACCTGTGATATATACTTTATAAATGTGCTAAAGCTGACTAAACTATTGCAAAATAGAAAAAAATGTGAATAAAGTGAGTTTATCTGTGCACCCACCACAACATCCCTGTCCACTTCCCAAAGGTTATCTCAGACTTCTACCTTCAACCTCCTACTGTCCCATAACATCTAATTGCCCAGTTCTCTCACCACATTCTCAGGGAGATGGACTAGTGATAATGGTAATAATGGCATGTAGCCCAGTTGGAGCCTCCTAGGTTAAGTGCACTTGCATGCATAGGAATAAGGCCTAATCGCATGCTCCATTATTCAGACTACTCTTCTACCCATTGGCCACAGAAGCCGGAGTGGTTGGCTGTGTTGTATCCCGTTGTACCATCATTCGTCGCCCAGCTGTAATAGGACGCTGGCTGCAACATCCAGACACTGAGATAATGAGGTGTAATAGCTGTGACATCTTGTTGATGCTGCTGTAGTATTGTAGTGGTTTTGACCCAAGCTGAGGTCTTCAGGTGAATTGGTTTACTGGTACTGGAGTTACAGTTGTGTGTTTATGGGTAAAGGAGATTACCATACACTGTATGCTGGAGCTGGGTGTGTGTGTGTGTGTGTGTGTGTGTGTGTGTGTGTGTGTGTGTGTGTGTGTGTGTGTGTGTGTGTGTGTGTGGTTCATTCCTAGGAGTTTTCCTGTATTTTTCAAATTAATATTGTATTGATTTTTTTATATATCTTTTCTAAACAAACAAGAGATGAAAAGAAAAATGTTTGCCTAGATTTATGAGTCCGGTACCTCTTAGTGTGCATGCACATGAATTTGCGTGTCTGTGTATTTCATGGCTCTACAATCCCCAGAGCTCCTAACGCCTTGCTCTGTGCCCCACTAACCAAGGATGATTAATAAAGGGCATGGATGAATGAGAGAGTGAGGGAGAGGGAGGCACACAAAGAAACGGAGGAGAGAGAGAAGCATAGGGAGAGAGACATAAAGGGAGATAGGGAGAAAATCTGCTTTGCCTTTGGCTCCAGGCTTAACTCCCACGCAGGGGCTTTTTTTTGCTCTCAGGGAAGTAATAGGTGGCAAGGATGGCAAAATTCCTCATCACCTATTTCTTCACTGTCATCCGTACCAGTCTGCTGTAGATGTCCATATTCTTTTTTAGTCATATGTTATCATATATTCTGTTTGGAAACAAGTACAATCCCCCCCACCCCACCCCACCCAATATCAGCATACAAATGGGTTTGTTATATTGTATGATTACATGTTGTGCGTGTGTGCATGTCTGCACTGTGTGTATACATTCCTGTGTGGTAGCCTCATGTTTAATTCACACCTCTTGCATAATTTAATTAGCGAGTGGATTTTCTCCACTCTGATGGAGTTGGTGGGCCTAGAGGATCAGTTGTTACCAGGGAGCCCAAGAAGCTGTGATGACATGGCGGCGTGCGGCAGCGACGAACAAGCTCTCTGGGTCCACCAGATGTTCCGCGGTGCTCTTCCCAAGATCCTCTTGTGCTCTGCCTGCCTTGCCCTCTGGAGCTGGTGGGCTTCCTGTGCTGCTACTGCTGACAGCTGCAGCAGAGCTAGGAGGGAAGAGAATGAGAGTGTGCAGAGATGCTAAATCAGAAATGGGGATTTGAGGCAAGGATAGAGAGAGACAGAATGCAAGATGCAAGTCTCTATGGAGGCTATTATCTATCTCAGCCATTGATCGAAAGAAATGCGAGCTGAAAGAGTTGCACACAGCACTTCACTTACTTTTCTGTTGGTGCTTCTGGTGCATC